AGACAACCATTCGATGTGTCTCTCATTGATGTTTCTCTCTCTCTCCTTCTCTCTGTATCTCTCCCCCTCCCTCCTCCTCTACCTGAAGATAAATGGAAAAATATCCTCGGGTGAGGATTAAAAATAAATAAATAAATAAAAATATTAATTCAACTTCTGCGATAGGCAATTTCTTTGAAATTATCATTTTTCCCTTGAATAGTGTGTCCAAGCAAGGATCATGAAATATTTATTTATTTATTTATTTATTTAATTCTAACTTGAGAATATTTTCCCTTTGATTTTTTATTTTTATTTTATTATTTTTTTCACTTGATGCTTCTATTTTTATTTATTTATATATTTCTATTTATAATTTTTATTAATTTATTTTTGTTACAGATGTTTTTCCTTTTTGTCTCCTATTGACACCCTCCTCCTCATCCCCCAACCCCATACCTGGCTTTGTTGTTAGTGTCCATTGGTTATGCATATAAGTTCTGTGGTTTATCTCTACCCTCCCCCGCCACCCCCTTTACAGACTGACAACCCTTTGATTCTTTAGAAGAGGGAGAGAGAGAAACATCTATGTGAAAGAGAAACATCGATTGATTTCCACCTGCATGAACCAGACTGAGCCCAGGGATGAAACTTGCAACCCAGGTATGTGCCCTTGAACCTGAGACACTTCTGTCCATGAGCCAATGCTGTAACTGCTGAGCCAGACTGGTCAGGGTGGATCATGGAATTTTTTATTTTATTAACTTCCAGCTACAATTAAGATATTTTATAGTAACTTTAAAGTTTGAGGTAAATATAATAAAATTCCAAACTTATTCCATGTTTATCTGCCCCAAAGAATTTTTTAATGAAAATGCTTACATTGTTATTATATACAATTTCACTTCAAAATATTCTCTAGAAAACACTTTACCCCATAGTTATCAGGCCCTACTCTAAGGTACATATAGTTAGCTGAGATTTCTGAATTATCTCAGAAAAAAACAGTGATGGGCCTTCTGAAAAGAGAAACTCAATCTGCTAATTTCAGAGTGCTAAAGTAAAACAAGCCTACCATTTATATAGTGATTATGCCAGGGAAATGAAGTGGCAAATTGTCGTAAGTATATTAATGTTTGCCTATATTCAATGCCACTCCGTCAGGGAGAATTATTTGTATTTGTCACAATGATTTCAGACTTCATAAAATAACTTGCTTTGTGCAATGAAATAGGAGTGGAAGTGACATGTATCTAGAACAGAAGATTTAAAAGCCAGCTTATATTTCATCACATTTTAAGCTTCCTCTCAAGTACAACCAACAAAGTTCCAGAAAGAGGCTCTTCACTTAGCCTAGGTCCCGAATAAAGATTATATCGAACAGCACCTAATCCAACCAATGACGGACATACAACAGGAAATAGGTATGTGTTGTTGTTGTCTTTAATATTTTACTGTTCAATTTGGAATAATCTATCATTAATATAAACTTAGCATGAAATATGAAATAGTTTTAAAGAATTAAAATTTAGATACTATTAAATATTTATCAGAGATTTCTACTAAAGTAGATCAGGCTGTATAATAAAGAACCTTGAGGTTATCTCTTTAAATAAATAAATAATACTATATATTTTGGTTGTGAATTTTTAATATTTATTTCTAAAGTACTTGAGGCTAATGGAAACTGTTATTCCAAGTACTGCAAATGCAACCCTTACAATCATGCATGACTTAATTAATAAACCATTTACTGTGAGATATTTCAATGACTGGTTCATCAACATTTGGTATGAATTACCAAAACATCGAATAAACCAAGACTAGATGTATTACAGATAAACTATACCTTTTATTAATTTTTCTCTCTAATACCTAGAGCTTTATAAACAATAAATAAACTTCAGTATGGATCCTAGTTCTCCAGTTGGTCATCAGTTGTATAATTTTGTGAAATTTATTTCATTATCTTCCTCAATTTTCTTCTTAAGAATTAATCCAATATAGTTTGTGAGTACCTGTAAGCTTTTAGCATTGTATTAGGTTGTAGGTTATTAATATGAAATAAATAAAGTTCTTGTGTTGACCTCAGAGGGCTTATATTATAGTAGAAGTGACTGATAACAAACAAGTAAATTAGTAAATGTATATTTGTATAAAGTGACAGTAAGTAATGTAAAGAAACTGATATGGGACCTTACTTAAATAAGGTGTTAGGGTGGGAATTTATAAATAAATGACTTTTAAGTCAAGACCTGAAGGTTGAGGGGTATAAAAGGAAAGTGTCAGGAGGACAATGATGATTGAGAAGGCTCACAAACAGAAAAGAGCTTGGAACATTGTAGAAAAAGAAAAAGAAGAAGAAGAAAAAAAAAACCTAGATGTCCTGTGTATAGAAAAATACAATGTGATACCTGAGAAATAGTTAAAATATTCATAAGCTCTGATAAGGTGTTTGATTTTAATCTAAGTGCAATGGCATGACATTAAAAGGTGCTCAACTCCTGAACAAAGAAAAAATTAAAGGGAAAATTTAAAAATTTTCTTGAGACAAACGAAAATGAAAACACAATATACCAGAACTTATGAGATACAGCAACAGCAGTTCTAAGAAGGAAGTTCACAGATAAAAATGCTTACATTAAGAAACAAGAAAGATCCCAAATAAACAACTTAATTCTAGGCATTAAGAAACTAGAAAAAGAAGAAAACACTGAGCTCAAATTTAGCAGAGGACAGGAAACAATAAAGGTTAGAGCAGAAATAAATAAAACAGAGAACAGAAAAACAATTGATAATATTAACCAAACAAAAATTTTGTCTTTGAAAAAATAAACAAAATTGGAAAACCCTTAGCTAGACTAAACCAGGAAAAAAGAGAAAGGACCCAAATCTATAACATTATAGGTGAAAAAGGAGACATACAACTGGTAACACAAAATTTCAAAAGATCATTAGATGCTACTGTGAACAGCTTATGCATCAACAAACTGGACAATCTAGAAGAAATGAAAAATTCTTAGAAACATACAGCTCTTCCAATGAATTAAAGTCCCAAACCACATGGCTTTGTTGGTGAATTGTACTGAATATTTAAAGAAGAAGTAATGCAAATCCTTCTCAAACTCTTCCAAAAAATCAAAGAGGATGGAATACTCTCTAACTCATTTGACAAGGACAGAATTATCTTGATACCCAAACCAGAAAACAATACAACAAGGAAAGAAAAAAATTGGCCAATATCCCTGATAAATATAGATTTAAATATTCTCAATAAATACTTGCAAACCAAATTAAGGAGCACATTAAAAAGATCATTCACCATGATCAAGTAGAATTTACCCCTGTGATGCAAGAATGGTTCAACATATGCAAATGAATCAATGAAATATATCATATTAACAGAATGAAAGTAAGGAATCATATGGTCATATCAATAAATGCAGAAAAAGGCATTTGACAAATTTCAACATCCATTCATAAACACTCTTAACAAATTAGAAGAAGATATCTCCACATAAGAAAGACTATATATGACAAGCCCACAGCTAATATCATATTCAATGGTGAAAGAGTGAAAACTTTTCCTTTAGGATTAAGAACAAGTTAAATGTATAAAGCTCAATTTTACATACTGATTACCTTTTCAAATAATAATATTTTGACTACATTGGTTAAAATAAAATGCATTATTAAAAATTTTAAAAAGTAAACAGGACAAAGTGTCTACTCTCATTCCTATTCAACATAGTATTAGAAGTCACAGCTAGAACAATCAGGCAAAAAAAAAAGTCTTAGAACTGGAAAGGAAGATATAAAATATTTTCTATATGCAAATAACATGATTATATATATAAAAAGTCCTAAAAACCCAACCAAATAAATATTAGAGCTAATTAATAAATTCAGTAAAGTTGCAGGATACAAAACTAACATATAAAATCCAGTAGCATTTCTGTATACTAATGATAAATTTTCTGGGGAAAAAAATTAAAAAATTGATCCCATTTACAATTGCATCAAAAACAATAAAATACTTATGAATAAATTTGACTACAGAAGCAAAAAAGCTCTACTCTGAAAATTTCATGATATTGATGAAAGTAAAGAAGATAAATAAATGGAAAGATATCCTAAATTCATGGATTAGAAGAATTAATACTGTTAAAATGTCAATATGACCAAAAGCCATCTATAGATTTAATGCAATCTCTATCAAGATTCCAATGACCTTTGTACAGAAGTAAAAATCACACTCCTAAAATTTATATGGAATCACAAAAGGCCTCAAAAGCCAAATACTCCTGATCTAAAAGAACAAAAGATGAAGCATCACACTACCTGATTTTAAGCTCTACTATAAAGCTATAGTCATCAAAATAATAGTACTTGCATAACAACAGACACATAGATTAATGGAACAGAGTAGAAAGCCCAGAAATAAACTCAAGCATATATGGTCAACTAATATTTGACAAGGGAGCCAAAAATACTCAATGTAAAAAAGACAGACTATTTAATAAATGGTGCTGGGATAATTGAATATTCACATGTAAAATAATAAAACTAGACCCATACCTTACACCACTCACAAAAAAATTGACTCAAATGATTAAAGATTTAAATGTAAGACAATAGAAATTAGGCTCCCTGGCATGGGTCTTGGTAATGATTTTTTGGATATGACATCTAAAGCACAAGCAACAATATCAAAAATAAGTGTCACTTCATCAAAGTCAAAACCTTCTGCATAGCAAAATAAACCATCAACAAAGTGAAACCTACAGAATGGGAAAAATATTTATATGCCATATAGCATATTAGAGATTAATATCCAAATATATATAAAGAACTCATATAACTCAATAGAAAAAAAAAAAACAAAATAATTTAAAAAGAGGCAAAGAATCTGAATAGTTCTCTAAAGATATATGAAAGGCCAACAGATACATAAAAAGATTTTCAACATCACTAGTCATTAGGGAAACGTAAATTAAAACCACAGTGAAATATCACCTCACCTCTGTTAGAATAAGTGGCCATCATCAAAAAGATCAGAGATAACAAATGCTGGAATGAATGTGGAGAAAAAGAGACCCTTGTACACTGTTGGTTGGATTGTAAATGGCTGAAGCTACTATGGAAAACAGTATGAAGAATGCTCAAAAAAGTAAAAATAGAACTATATATGACCCAGCAATTTTACTTCTGGGAATATACCCAAAGGAAACAAAACCACTAACCCAAAAAGATATATGTAACCCATGTTCATTGCAACGTTATTCGCAATATTCAATACACGAAAATAATCTAAGTGTCCATCAATGGATGAAAGGATAAAAAAATGTGATAAGTATATTTACAAGGAAATATTGTTTAGCCCTAAAAAAAATGAGGAGATCCTACCCCTTGTGACAACATGAATGGACCTCAAAGGTATGCTAGGTGAAATAAATCAGGCAGAGAAAGACAAATACCGTATAATTCCATTGATATGTGGAACCAAAAAAGAGAATAAATCCTAAGAAAAGAAGATATCAGAATTTTTGTTACCAGAGGTGGAAGGTTGAGGGAGAGAAAATTGGATTAAGGTGGTATAAAGGTATAAATTTCCAGTTATAAGAAAAATGAGTACTAGAAATGTAAAACATGTTCACAATAGCTCACACTCTTACATGATATACAAGAAAAAACTGTTGAGACTAAATCTTTAGAGGTCTCATCACAAGGAGAATTGTTTTCCTTTTCTTTTTATTGTTTCTATATGAGAAGACAGATTTTAGCTGAACCTATTGTGGTAACAATTTCACAATATGTATACATCAAACCATCATGCTCTATGCCTTAAACTTATACAACAATGTGTGATTACTATTTCTCAATAAAACTGAAAAAAGGTGCTGAGCAGAGAGAATGTTATTAAATTTACATTTTTTGAAAACTATCTTGAATAATATATAGAAGAATTTGATGAGGGGGAGGGGTGTATTGGACAGTTTTTACATTGTAAGGTACAAACACACATAATCGCAGTGGCAAAGAGTACGCATTTATTACTCACTAACATAACTGTGTCAGCTGGTCAGCTGGGGTGGCTTTGCTTCTTCCTGCATATACGGAGTTCAGACCTACTCCACATTTCACATATTTGGGGCAAGTATGTAGGGCCATTAGGTACATGAGGTGTGAATTTCCCATGGTAGACCAGAAGCTCCCAGAGAGGTAAATAAACATCAAGTTATTTCATAATATATTTCATTAGCCATAGAATGTCACATGGACAATGCCAATGTTATGGTGTGGGAAAATACACTTTTTCTACAGAGGAGTAGTAGGAAAAAAGAAAGTCCATATGCTGGGCTTATCTAGATGAGACTAAGTTTTGTTCTTTATGAATATTTACTAAACAAAAATTTAAATTTTACATGAGAGCAAAAAACAAACAGTAACAAATTTACCATAATAATTTGAAATAGAAGTAATGATGGTAAAAATGAATATATTTGAAAACAATACTGTATTAGATTTAATAACATACTGTATTCCTGAAAATATTTATGAACTTTACATTTATTTGCTTTTATTTATAAAGCATATGCAATGTGCTTAGGATCAGACCTTGAATTTAACTTGAGTATGAGCTGAATTCAAGTCCAGGGTTTCTTCTGTGACTGCATGCTGGGCAGTATTATTTTACAACCAGCAGGTAGTCACAACAGAAGAGAGAATAGACATACACAGCCATATAAACTTAATTATTCAACTTTATCTATCTCTCTGCTATTCTAAGAAACACCGAAGATTCACTGTGCTGTAAAGCATGTATATGAGATATAACAGTGTGAGATTGTTGTGATTACTTAGCATGTCATCAAGCAAGGAGACTATACAACAGGTGCATGTGTAGTTTTTATGATGATAATGATCCCAGTAGTAATATTCTGACATGGAAGATAACTCCTCATCATCCATCCCAAAATGCCTTTTCTTACCAGTGGTTCTCAACCTGTGGGTCGCAACCCCTTTGGGGGTTGAACAACCCTTTCACAGGGGTCGCCTAAGACATAACAGTAGCAAAATTACAGTTATGAAGTAGCAACAAAAATAATTTTATGGTTGGAGGTGACCACAACATGAGGAACTGTATTAAAGGGTCACAGCATTAGGAAGGTTGAGAACCACTGCCTTAAACCAAGGCTTTGATCATGAGTCTTGGGTTTCTCTGAATGTGCTAGGTAGAAAGTCCTGGTGCATTTCTTAGGTAGATGATGTACTATTCTTGCTTCTTCAGGACTGATCCTCTCTGTTGACATGGTAGTGACTATAATGGTGCCAGAGTTCTGCCAGTTTAAGTTATTTAAAAGCAGTACCTGAATTTGTCTTGCTGCTTTTCTAGAAGAATGTAGGCTTAGAAATGTGCTTAATGAATATTTTTTTAAATGAATTAATTAAGGAAAAAATGAATCCTTCAGTTCTTATGTATAAGATCTGTTGATACGAGTATAGGCTATTGATATATGCTTTAGACAGAAAGATACAGTGTGCACAGGCAGAAAGCAGAGTGGTGTAGCACTAAGTGAGCAGCTTTGATGCCTCAAAGGGTCTGAAGACAGTATTTTTCTGCTTCCTACTCAGATATGAAATTTCTAATCTTTTGAATTACCTCACATACTGCAGACCAGGTATTAACTTTCATATATTCTTTCAGTACCAGAGAATACATGAGAAATCATTCTGCCCAAAATTTATCTCTCATAGATAATGATCAATTTGGAACGTTTTGATATCATTGCATTCATGGGTGGGTGTGAGAAATACTGGAGGTGGAAGCTATGATTGCTAGAAAGGATAGTGTCCTGCTTGCCAGGGTATAGCAAGTTATTAAAATAACATTTTACAAAGGTGACTTAAAAATATAAGTTTCATGCTTGTCAGAAATATTGTTTTCATACATGGATTATCTTTTTCAGTTGGCACTGGGTCAGTCAGGGGTGACACACAACATGGACACCTTGAATGATATCTTCTTGACCAAGTACGCATTATTGGTGATATAATACTCCCCTATTCACACACTCAACTTGAATAACCATATGGGTCTTACCAATAGTGGGAGCAGATCCTGAATGTGAAGGGTCTAAAGCTAGCACAGTTTTAAACTCGTCTTTAAGAAAAGCAAAGTAAATCATGAATATTTAGGTTACAAAAGCAATCACATAAAGTTAAAATTATCTCACCATTTTACAAACATACATGAATATATGTATACATTGCTAGGGTCCTTTCCAGGGCCACACACAGAGTCCTTCCCAAGAAGACATGAAGTTTAAGCTTCCTTTGCTCATAGTAAATCCATCTCTCTCATTAAAGAATGTCCATCAACCATGTCCAACCACCCTGTCATATTCTTGGGTTCAGATAATAAGTTGGACTCAATAGAGCAAATCTTGAGTTTTACAAATCTGTCCAGTATTACGGATATTGAGAATTTTCATGTGGATCTGATGTAAGAAAAATGAAAATATAAGACTTGCCCAGAATGTGTTTTATGCAACCATGTGCTTAAACAAATAAGGGGCATGGCATTTGAGCAGTTTTGTAAAGTTACTTCCTCACACTAATACAAGATGCCTTCTTTCAAACACTGAGTTTTTGCAGAAGTTATTGATTTGTCTATTCTATTGCCAATAAGCTATACAGCTCCAGAATTCAGAGTCATGTAGTCGTTTGCATTTGAGAATTAGTAAAGATGTAATTGCTTTCACTTTTGATGTCAAATTACTAAATATGGCTCTTCATATTTGATGTCTTCCCCCATCTCTTCTCTATACCCTAGAAGTCTCAGAAGGCTAAATGTATATTTTACATTGATTTTGATCAAATGGCTTTTGCCCTGTATAGTATTAGATGGCTAGGTCATTGCAGCAATTACACAGCAGTATTCCCCAAGAGAATTTTTCATCTACTTATAATGTAAAATCAATAATGTCTAAACAAGGGCTAGATGGCATTTTAATGTTTTCCAGAGAGCATTTAGATATCTGAGCTGCCTCAGAAATGGTCTCAGGATCCATTTTGAAAATAGGGGCAAAAAATATTTTCTATGTCTTCCTTGTATCCAGATAGTTAAAAACAGTTTTTTATTAATTGTAGGGTTCATATTCTATGCTAATAAACTTTGAACAAACTCTGCATTTTCTATTAAAAATGGAAGACATGAATTACTTTTACAAGACAATATTCTTTCCATAGAGAAATACATAATTAAAAATGCAAAAATTTCCACCACAAATTCTGGGTAACAATAACTAGTAGTATATTTAATCACTATTTATTTTACATCACACATTTAAAATTTTAAATGTCCGTTTTATTCAAATTTCAGTGACAGATTTCCTAACACCCTTTCTACAAGGTCATTTATAAACCTGAATACTTTTCTCCTATGAAATGCACAAAATCAGGTTACATATGAGGTAAACAGTATTAATTCATTTTTCATGGCAAAAACCTTTTAACATTGTATATTTTACTATCTATACTCCTAATTACGTAAGGAGAAATATTTTTCAACAGAAACCTCTTAAACCATCTTCTTTGTTCTACTTCATCAGAACTCTAGAATGTGAGGCACTTGGGATTGATGTGGGCACCAGTTTCATCACTGGTTGCACATTTCCTGTATTATCATGGAAACTTAGAATAATGACTGGGAAGTAAACTCAAAATAAACTCAGTATGTACTTCGAGCCAGTGACCTCTCATTGAGCAGTGTTAAACTGACAAATACTGTAAGAGGTACAAAACTCCTCTGAGAAGCCCTTCATTTCAGTCTGTGCAATCAAAAGACCCAATTAATGCTTCAACTCATGCAATATTTACAGATTCTGTGTAAGCAGGTCAGCTTGTTAAACTAACTTACCTCTGTCAAGCACATCATTACATCACAAGCCAGTGAACAGATATAAATTGTCCAGTATTTCCTTAAGGAATGACTAAATCAACTCAATTCCTGGCATATCCCAAAGGGAGCACTTCTCTTTTTACATAGAGATACTGTATGAAGGCTTGTAAAGACTTTACTATTGCCATACCTCTTTATTTATGAGGCATAATGAGTTACCTAAGTCCCT